ACATCAACATGTGTCCCCTCTTCTCCATGTCTCTTCTACATCAACATGTGTCCCCTCTTCTTCATGTCTCTTCTACATCAGCATGTGTCCCCTCTGTGGAAAGAGACTCTGAAAGATTCTCTCTCTTTTTGATCCATTTCTATAAAAACCTGTCTGAAAATGAGCTGATCAGATTTTTGCCACGTTATGTCATAATGATGTTTTGTCTTGTGTAACCATTAGCCAATCAGCAACCAAGGTACCCCCCCCCCCCTTATCAACTGAATCTCCTCCTAGAGCACCATTGAGTTCTTTGTAACCAAATGTCTCTCAGAGGGGCGTGGGGAGGGGCTCCTTATTTTAATCTAAAGTAACAGACAGAGAATCAGTACTTTGAAACAGGACTGAAACAGAGGGGATTATGGGTAATGCTGCAATGATCTGTTCGATGTAAACTGTCTAATAGGGGACCTTTAAACACACATTTAGATCTGAGCCACACACAGATTTATCACATTCCTTCAACGTACCTCGTTCTGTTGTTTTCAAAGTATTTGGCATCTGTGTGATATTTGGGATGAACTCCCACCACTGCTGTCTACCTGAAGTGTCATTATGTCACGTGTTAGTGTACTCGTCAACAAATATGCTGTGAAACAAACTAATTAATGCTTCTGCAGATGTAAGCCATATTAACCGTAGCCACAATCTAATAATGCAAACTAGAAATCGTACGCCAAGTTTAATGTTTTGATAATGTAAATAGTTTAGTGGATGTTCATCGCACCTCTTCACCCTTTCTGTTCAAATGGCCTCACCAAAGTGAATCGAGCTTTGATTATTATTTTCTTTAATGCTTCACAAGTCAATCGATGAACTAATCAGTCACTCATGAATCACATCCTCCTTTTCCTTTGACTTCACGCTTTTCTTTCCCCACTCTCCCCCCACTCTCCTTCATCCCACTTCCTCCTCCTCTTCCTCCACTCTTCTCAGATGCGCTCGGGCCAGATCACGAGGAAGTTGTGGGGCATCAAGAAACTCACGCAGATTTCCTCGGGGGAAACGGTGTACAGAACGCAGAACGTCTGACCCTCCCCCTTCCACATTCCTGTCACCTCCATACCCATCAGCCAGCAGTCATTCTGTGTGAAGAAGTTCTTCCTGCGTTTTCCACAAACTCTGCATGTGTGTTTTTATGTTTTTCTGTGTTTGAGATTACGGCGCTGGCGCTGTGGTTCAAATCCAGAAGTAGTGCCAGCCTCAGCACCACCTTAAAAACCATCCCCATCCATCGTCCTTCTTACCGGATGTTTCTCCCATCTGCCGGCTGATTGCTCTCGTGTGTGTGTGTGTGTGTGTGTGTGTGTGTGTGTGTGTGTGTGTGTGTGTGTGTGTGTGTGTGTGTGTGTGTGTGTGTGTGTGTGTGTGTGTGTGTGTGTGTGTGTGTGTGTGTGTGTATTGTCAAAGTATAGTTTAAAGTGGCATCTTAGTTTGCCTTAAAGCTGCCACACAGCAGCCTTATGCAGTAACATCACTCACAAGACCAAACGCTCTGCCTCTCCTCTTCTTATTTATACGTCTGAGTGAGATTGTCTTTTTTTATTCTTTGGGTTTCTCTGTTGGTTTCCAGACAGATGCATGCATGTCCCTACCTACCGCCCTCTGTTGGTATGCAGCATTTGTTGGACCATTTAGAGATTGAGAAGCAGACACAGTGATGGTGGATTTATTTTTACGCTTAGATATGACTGACTTGTTTTGTTCTAGAAACATCTGTCTTTTAATGTTGGCAAGTATGTTCTCACTACAGGCAAAACACTACGTCCTTTAAAGAGAGGAATGACTTTAAAGCCACACAACACTTCATCGAATGTTTTTAAGTTACTTGAATCCATGTTTATTTATAAGTAGTAGTAGCAGTTTTTAAAATCACAGCTTGTCTCTTGAATATAGACACCGGTAGGGCATATCTTAAACTGTAAAGACTGTTAAGAGACCTGCAGAGGAAGGAGCAAATCCACAAGGGCTCTATGATATGTCAGTGTTAGCAGCAATACACCTGTCTTCCTGTAGCTTCTGGAACAATACATGCACCCTAATTCATCCTTCGTCTTCTTATCTCCTTCCTGCTCATCGAGGAGGTTCTGCATGCCTTGTTGTTCGAATGTGATTTATTTACTGACATTAGAATCACAAGAAGCCACAGAATGAAGCTCCTGTGGATGTAATTTATATGTTTGTACTGTGTGTGTGTGTGTGTGTGTGTGTGTGTGTGTGTGTGTGTGTGTGTGTGTGTGTGTGTGTGTGTGTGTGTGTGTGTGTGTGTGTGTGTGTGTGTGTGTGTGTGTGTGTGTGTGTGTGTGTGTGTGTGTGTGTGTGTGTGTGTGTGTGTGTGTGTGTGTGTGTGTGTGCCAATGATGCATGTTTATTTTTTATAGCCAAACCCTTTTGATGTGGTGTTTCTGATTCTGTGGCAGCCGGTGAGTTTTTGGGGTCACAGCGGTTCTTCTTTCTTTTTGTGTTTGTGTTTTTATTTAAGCGTCACGGCAACATGGAGACCAATCTGTGTCCTTGTTTTTGAGATGTTCTGTGTTGTTCATTTGTCATTCAGACATCAGACCACTGTTTGAGTTGTTCCACGACTGCAACAAACGGAGTGCCTTTATCCCGGTGTGGCATTGACACAGGTTCCTCTCATTACCGAAGCTTATCGTCCCTGACCGTAGTGTACATCCAAACTAAAGCAGCATTCCAGATGTTAAAACCCCCCCAGTTTCAACGGGAAAACCAAGAGCATAGGACTTCAAAGAGTACTATTTTGTGTCTTAGCATCATTCTCTGTGTCCGTCACCAAATGGATGTGTGTATATCTGTGATTATTTATGAATACAGTATATAATGTACAGCATGATTTTTATTTCAGCGTATTTGAAATGTACTTTTGCACTTTCCAGGTACTAAATTGTAACAAATTTGTTTTAACTTGGCTCCCTAATCTGTATAAACTGCTTTGTATACACAAGTGGAAAATGATCATTAAAGTCTTGTCTAAATTTAAGTGATTTGGATGGTGTTTTTGAAGGATGAAGATGGGTATTAAAAGATATGAAACAGAAGCACTCAGATGTAAAATGCCATGTTTTATTCAACAGATGCAGACGATGGAAACATATCTGTCCGTTAGATTGTTAAAAACTGTTGTTTCTTTGTGGTTTTCATGCATTGATCTGATATGAGCAGATGGACGCTCTCTTCAGGTCACAGTCAGCCGCCGTCCACCAGCTCTCATCTGCAGAAAAGGGTAGGGACAGAATAGAAAAACACATATTGGCTGACTCTCTGAGGATATTTCTAAGACCATTTTGTATAAATATGACCTAATATGTGCCTACTAGTATTAACAGTATTTATTTACATGTTCAATTGTGCTAAAGGGACAGAACAAGTTTCCATTGGTGCTTAAGGGGAAAGATTCTCTCTGCACTGTAGTCTTCTTTCTAAACTATTTAGTTGTACCACTTAATCAGTCATTGGTGTGTGTAAATATGTGTGTGTGGTGTTCTTACCTATCTTGAACATCTCCACACACACTGGTTTATCAGTGTGGATGTTGGGGTGTCCGGGCATCCAGTCGCTGTAACTCCAGTCCGACCCGTCTACCCATGATGCCTTCTGGTTCTGAGGTGTGCCAAATCAACACACACAGCTTATTATAATATGCACGCATTAAACTTTTAAAGTATTCTGATCTTTTGGTCTAGTTTAAATACAGCTTTAACACACTTTAAAAGTCCTGTGTTGGATATTTTAGGGAAAAAACCACTGAAGTATTAGAAACATTTGTTTTACTTTCTGGCCTTGTTAAGTGACAGCGCAGAAACAGATGGAGTCCACAGGTCAATGTTTCACCAAGGTAAGACACTATCTGTCCTGTTGATAACATATCTGATGATACTCTCCTTGGCCTCCTTCCTGCGTCACGGTACATGGTCATTAAAAAAAAGTGTGATGTGAGACAGCTTTTCCAAAACATTTATTCTGTATGACTTGCCTTGACCGTGCCTCCTATCCACGTCAACACCGGGTTGTTTTCACCACCGTTTGTCGAGAGAGAAACCAAGCGTGAATGCAGATCTCCGGTTGTTACAGATGCAAGCTCAGCATTTGGGGCAAGAGATCTGCATTTGGCCTGGAGACACAAGAGTGTGATTTCATTCATGGAGCCAAAAGCAGATTAAAAACTATTGGTGACGTACAAATGGTGGGAATGAGGGTGGAGAGAGTACAAAAGCACACAAAATGCAAGAATATTATTAAAACAAAGGCAGTGGATTATTTATACCACATTATCTTATGTGTGTTATTAGCATTATATCAAGGTTTGATTTACGTAGA